GAGAGGGAGAGAGGGAGAGAGGGAGAGAGAGAAGTCCTGCAGGCATAATATGGGGGTATTTGACACCTCTTGTCCATCCTTGGCTTTGGGGCTCTAGCTGTAAATCTGAGACAATAGGAAATGTCCCATTAAAAGTCTGTTACACGCGTGTCCTTTACCTTAATCCTCATGATAGCCCTATATGGGAAGTGTATTAAATAGGGTAATGCTAGCTGCAATAGTGAACAGCCCACAAGATCCAGTGGCTTAACACAATAGCAGTTTATCTCTTACCTAACATTGCAAGGCAGGTGTTCTTGGTTGGAGGGCAGATTTCCTTCATATGGTGATCTGGGTGACTTCTATGTTGCAGCTTTGCCGTCCTGCAGGGCTTTGGGGTTCTCTGCATCTAGACTGGAGACAAGGATGGAGAAGCTCACCTGCTTCCTAAAGGCCCTGCCTGGAAGTGACACTCACCACTCCTGCTCACATTCCATTGGTGGAGACTAACACATGGTCATGCCTAGATGCAAGGGATGCTGGGAAATGTAGTCTCCAGCTGGGCACGTGTCTTCCAGAGACAATTCCACATTACAGAGTCTTTTCCAGAGTTAGTGCACAAAGAATTTCTCTTTACCAATCTGTTTAATCAGCTTGCTAGGCTAACCAGTGCTCTCCATGCTCTCTGAATGCAATGCTACTGCTCCAGGCATAGTAAATGCTTATGGCTAGTAAGCCATTCTTTAGACTTTCCCTTTGCCTCTTCCCTTTGGCTCTTTGCCATAGAAGGGCATGCTTGCCAAGAGTCTTCTGAGTCTGTTCCCAAATCAGTTTGCACCAGGCACACTTAATATTGTAACAATGTAACTGAATTAGATATTCCATAAACTGATGAAATGAGTGCAAAAGGAAGATATTTGTTTTTATGAAAACTTAGGAAAGACTGGTTGCTAAAAAGAATACTATAAAATCGGGTGTGGAAGAAACAACTAAAAACATCTGGAAAAAAAGTAACCGCAAGAATTTCGAGGGATTCTGCACCCAGTTGCTACACAAGTGTCTGCAGGTCCTTGCCCCGCTTTGAAGAAATCAAAATTGGCTGGGGACAGTGGCTCATGCCTCCAATTCCAGCACTTTGAGAGGAATTACAGGCATGAGCCACTGTGCCCAGCCCCTGCAGGCCTTTCTTCAGGACATTATACCAGCTTTCCTTCCCTCAAAAGCCTCCTCAGCCTACATAAAGCAAAGATTATAAATAAATGTTAAGGGCAACTTTCTGGAACCAGACAGCCTGTATTTGAATCAAGCAATCCTCCCGCCTCAGACTTGCAAGTAGCTGGGGCAATAGGCACACACCATGGCATCTGGCTTAAAATTTCAATTTAATTCAGTTTTAATTACTTTATAGATGGCCACATATGATTATAGCTAAGGCATT